TTTCTCCTTCTCTCTTTCCCTCTTCCATCCTTTTCCTTCTCTCCACAAACCCCACCCTTCTACCACAGATGATGTAACCTAGTTGGGTAACGAAACGTCCGCAAGGAAACCATCAAGATCAGCGAGCATCATGGACCCCTCTGTGACTTTGATCTGGGCTCTGTGCCACTCGGCAGATCTTTATCCTCTTCAATTTTATCAAGCCTAAAACCTGATTAAACCTCTTAAACCTGCTTAAATGGACCCCTATTTTGCAATGGATTCTTTGATTTGAGCATTTAATTTATTGGAAAGGATATGGGTTAGGATGGCACATGAACTTTGCTCATTTATAAATTAACACACCAGGCACTGGGAAATAGGTAAACCTGATCAGTTGATGTACTATCTCAGATTGCAAAGCTGGTTTTCTTCACAATCTTTCAGGATCAAGCTGATTGTGTCTTTGTGGCTGCGCCGCCGTTCATTTCCTCCTTTGGGTGACCAAAGCAACTGGAATTCAGTGGGACTCCCCATTATGTTTTTTGCGGCCTCAAGTTAGAGCAGTAATAGAACTTTGTTGTTGTTGTTAGTTGCGAAGTCGTGTCCGACCCATTGTGACCCCAAGGACAACGTTCCTCCAGGCCTTCCTGCCCTCTACCATCTTCTGGAGTCCACTTAAGCTCACGCCTCCTGCTTCAGTGACTCCATCCAGCCACCTCATTCTCCGTTGTCCCCTTCTTCTTTTGCCCTCCATCTTTCCCAGCATCAGGCTCTTCTCCAGTGAGTCTTTCCTTCTCATTAGGTGGCCAAAGGACTTGAGTTTCAACTTCAGGATCTGGCCTTCTAAAGAGCAGTCGGGGTTGATCTCCTCTAGGACTGACCGGTTTGATAGAACTTAGTCAATTTTAAATGGTCACCACGTTGGAACGAGTCAGTGTTGTGAAGTCCCTTGGTGCTCTCCCGAGTTTGGTTGTTTCCTTGCAGATGTCAAGGGAGATTCTCAACCATCCAGGTCATGGTTTGTGCCCAAAGGTGCTTTTTCAAGAGGCAACTGAACTTTGGTTTACCTTGAAGACGTTTCGCTTCTCCTCCAAGAAGCTTCTTCGGTTCACATCAATCCTTCCATTCTCCACCGTTCAGTCAGAACTGAAGAAACTAAGGAACTCGTTGCCTCTTGAAAAAAAGCATCTTTGGGATTTTTTTGGAAATATTTCATTGCCCAACTGGGGAAAATCATCAGTAGGAAGGGTGGGGAATTGTTCTCTGTTTATCTATTGGTCATTTTTTCTTATCAGTGTTGCTGGGAGTTCTTGATTGTTCCTTGATAAGGTATTGTTTGATGGTTTGCACGAGTGGGTCATTCCTTGACTGGGGTATTGTTTACTTGATTGTTGATCTAGTTGTGTTAATCTCTGCTTGTCCCTGTGATAATTAGCTGGCCTTGGAGATCTTTCTCTTTCCTTTTAAATCCCTCTCTTTTGAATGACATGTTTCCCAGTTGGAAATTATGGGGAGGTCTGTCCATGAGTTGCCATTCAGCATAAAACTCTAGCTAAAGATCCTTGCCTTCCTGCCTTGTGGATGCAAATATGTTCTCTCTTTTGTTCTCTCTAGTTTCCCATCACAGCTTTACGGGAGATTAAAATCCTGCAGTTGCTGAAACACGAAAATGTGGTCAACCTCATTGAAATATGCCGGACTAAAGGTGAGTTGTCCAAAATTGCTGGACTTAATTTTATCTGCTAAAAGGAAAACCCCAGTGAGGCCACGCCTGGAAAACTGGGGCCAGTTTTGGCTACCATATCACAAAAAAAGAGGTTGAGAGTTTGGAAAAAAAATCATGAAAATGATGAAAGGCCTGGAGATTAAAACATATGAAGAATGGATGCAGGACTTGGGTTTGGCTAGTCTAAAGAAAAGAAGAAATAGGGGAGACATGATAGCAGTGTTCCAGTATTTGAGGGGCTGCCACAAAGAAGAGGGGGTCAGGTTGTTCACCAGAGCACCAGAGGGAAGGACGGGAAACAATGGCTGGAAACTGATCAAAGAGAGAAGCAATCTGGAATTAAGGAGAAACTTCCTGACAGTGAGGACAATTAACCAGTGGAACAGCTTGCCACCAGAAGTTGTGGGTGCTCCATCCCTGGAAGTTTTTAAGAAGAGGCTGGACAGTCCCTTGTCTGAGATGGTATAGGTTCTCCTGCTTGAGCAGGGGGCTGGACTAAATGCCCTCCAAGGTCCCTTCCAGCTCTATTCTATATGTCAATTTAAGGAATAGTTTGCAAGGGAAGAGCTCAAATAGCTGTTAAATCTGAACTGGATGTTATTGTTGTCATGGTGTCAATTTTAGTCATTTCAGTACAGGTAGTCCTTCATTTATGACCACAATTGGGCGCAAACTTTCTGTTGCTAAGTAAGAAATTTGTTAAGTGAGGATTGCCATTTTTATGGTCTATATCTATCTGTCTGCCGGTCTCTCTCTCTCTCTCTCTCTCTCTCTCTCTCTCTCTCTCTCTCTCTCTCTCTCT